CGTCGGAAAAAAAAAAAAAAAAAAAAAAAGAAAAAAAAGAAAAAAGAAAAGAAAAGAAAAGAAAGATTCCAGGCTCCATCAAAGATCTACTAAACAAGAATCTCTGTGCCAGGCATGTTGGTTCATGCCTGCACTCAGGAGGCTGAGGAAGGAGGATCGCCACAAGTTCGAGGCCAGCCTGAGCTATATAGTGAGATCCTGTCTCAAGAAATCAAAACAACAACAACAAAAAAGAATCTCTGGGGCTGAGGGTAAGGAATTTACACATTTATTTAGGTGCTGGGGATTGAACTTGGGACCTTGCACTTTGGAAAGCAGGTACAATGGCACTGAGCTAAATCCCCAGCAAGAATCTACAATTTTAAAAAACATAAATTCTGCTTTACATACACCCAGAAACAGCCAGTATGTTGGCCATTTCACTATTAAAAAAATCTTTATTGGAACCAAGTTTCAAATAGTCTCACAAAGAATTTGCATTCACACATGACTTCTCATCTCTCTCCATGAACAAGAAGAGTCAAAGCATGTCCTGTCCAATTCGTCTTTGCACAGCTTTGGTTTATGGTACAGTGGAAGCTTTATCTTGCCCCATTCCCTCCAAAGCAAAAATAAACCAACCAGGTATAAGAAAAGTAGCAAACAAAGACCAAACTCAAGGTTAAAAGCCATCCTTTGCCAAATGACACATAAAAATCATTCTACTTCTGAATCCACAGCCACACCTAGGAATTACTGACAATAACATAATAGTATAGGTATACAATGTTATTTTAGTATTTAGAGGATTCAGCCAAAATTCAGTTTAGAAAGAAATCATGGGCCAATTTAAAGCAAGCAATGATTCATATATACTCCTAAGTCATAGGTTTCTGATCCTGACTTAAAAAAAAAAAAATCAAAGAGTATTTATTAGTCTCTTTCCTACTAGTGGTATAGGCCTCATCCTAGTATTTGTGCCTATCTCAAAAAAAAAAAAAAAGAAAAAAAGAAAAGAAAAGGCATTTGATCATAAGAGGTAAAAATGACCTAAGCTTTGTAGTTAAGTCTCATCCAATACACACAGGGATCTGCCTCCGGTGTTGTCTCCTATCCTGCTGATTCTTAAACTCTGAGCTCTTCCTACCTTTGAAACTAGACCCACGCACACGCTGACCCCAGTGAAACTACAACTCAGACCCCCAAAGCTCCAAACACCAATCAGACGACCAGTGAGAGGCACAATGGAATCATCCGCACACCAAGCTCATGGAAGTAGACAACACCAAAGCAGGAGAAAAGATCAAGAGCTGGCTGGGTCATGGGAAGGAGTAAATTTCTGTAAACTCTTTATCTACTTTCTGTTACCTGTCTCCGCAGGGGGATGCGCTTGGTCAGCTTGTGCACAGCCGGCTGGCTGCTGAAGTCTGGCTTCTTGGTCGTAGTCTTCATTCGGCACACGATGACTATCACCACCATACAGGTGATTAAGAAGACCCCTATGCAGTAAATGGCTATTTCCAGGTAATCTGGGGAAGATGGAATCTCCTTTTCTCTTACGGGAGCTAGATCATAGATTACAGAGGGGAAGAACAGATAAGCAAGCCACAGAGTTAGGACACTAGAATAATGCATTACAACATTACTAAAGGAATCAAAGGCAATGACCAGTCTTTAGGCAAGGTGGGCTTCCCAAAAACTCAATGCTGCAAGATGGCAGGGGGCACACGCCCACTAAGTGCCTCTCCGGGTGCAAATGGGTAGCCAATGCTCCTCACTTTCCCACCAGGGCCCAGGTGGTCACTATCTATCTGCAGTCTCAGTGGCTCTCTGCCAACAGTAAGCAAGTGACACCAAGCCATAAAAGGGCAGGCTGTAAGGCCACATTCTATCAGGCATCTGGGCACAGCAAAAGCATCAACTGCACTCACAGCAAAGGACTAAAACAAATCGAGCTGAAAGATCTAGAATAGGAACATGCCCGTTTTGTTTCTTAGGAGACAGTGGCAATGCCTCAGTCTTACTGGGGCAGGCGCTTCCAGAGGAAGACTCAAGGAGATGCTGTACCTCAGATGCTCCACATCAAATGAATATTTATTCACGCCGTAGACTGCCCATAAGAGCTTTAGTGACTTGTTCAATATAGTCCAGCATGTTATTTAAACAAACCAATGCATTTAAGATAGAGACTGGATTGTTTACATGAAATTACGTTCAAAATAAAGTGTATCCCTTAACCATTGAAATTTTGTGTATCTGGTTATACTGGTAGGTCACTGCAACTCCTCCCTTAAGAAAAAAATATAAATGTGAAAATATACATATATAATTAATTTAGCACCTTCTTATATCAACTTCTAATAATGCTGCTGCTCTCCCCTTGGTCCTCAGTGGTCAATCTATAAGCAGTGTATTCCCAAGTAGCATTTTCCTCAAACTGCATTCTCAATTAACAGGATAGTACTGTCAGGCAAATTGGTTAAGAAGTGCCAGCAAGGCACTTGCACAATGCTTTACTGCAAGTAAAAGCAAGCTCGACAACAGTCTCGTTGTTTCAAAGCAAATATTCACAGAGCAGATTTACAATAAAAGGGAAAAATGGATGCAATGGTATTAAAGCTTATACATTTTAATCAGAAAAATATTTGCAAGATGGGCAAAACTCTCAGCAGCACAGCACAAAATGATCAATCTATTTTTACTAGATATAACACAACAAGCATGCAGGTAGTCACTGTATTCTAAAAATAAGGAATTAATAACGAGTGGAACATCATAAGCTAGCAGACCACAGTCTGTGCAAGTTTCGCAAAGGAAACAATAGAGGCAGCAGCGTAGAGAGGACAGTGTTCATCGAGAAGTTCTGACTAAACCAGAGATGTCAGTTAAAGACTTAGACAGCAGCAGTGTTTAGGCAACAGGGCTTTGCTGATGTTTATTTCTCCATGGGGTGGAAATAACATCGAGCCCAAGATGGCATGAGCATGCACTGCAGTAAAAGCAAACGAAGAGTCCAAACTATTGAAACATGCAACAAGCCACCGATTCCCAGGGTAGGTAACACACTGCTTCTGCACACCTACGTTCAGAGGTGCTTCCCCCGGGCACCCCAGGATACATCCATCTGCTTACATCTTTTTAAAACTACAAAGCGGGACAAGAAGAACAAAGAATGAACCACGTATGGGATTTCAGCCAAATGGAATTTGCAATGAGGAAAAAATTACTTTGCATTTAACAAAGTAATTTCAACTTGTTCCATAAGAGAAAGGGGGATGGACTAATTTATATATCGGCTCACTGACTAATAATATTAAGATCCCATTGAGTTTTAAGGCTGAAATGTCACTTGATCATAAATGCAGTGTAGGATGTCCTTGCAACTGAATTTCTAAGACAACTTTCTCATCCCTGGGGGATCATTTTGAATTTTTTTAATCTTATGCAAGGATAAAGGGGGCTATTTCTGAGAACAGAAGCTGTGTTAATTTTATAGCAATCAACCAAGAAAAGGGAAAAACCCACGGAGAGAAAGAGCAGTATATACCTGGCAGAACTGTCAACCATGCAGAGTGAAAGGATATCCCAATAGAATTACCCGCCAAGCACGTATATTCCCCAGCATCCTCAAAAGTTACATTCCGAATATAGAGAACCTCAATTTCTTTGTCCGTGGTGTTAACACCGGCGGCCTAGAAAACAAAGGAAGCAAGAAAAAGGCTAGACAACACAGGAATGATTGTGGAGGGGCCTTGGAACCATGAGGCCTTGCCCAGCAGCTCCAGGAGTTGTTGGCCACTGGGAGATTCCGACTGCAGCCCATCCACAAAGCCCACAACCGAGAGACACGGAGAGCCACTGGCCAGCTCACCTCTGCAGGCCCATCACCACACCGGCTTCACCACCTAGACATGCATGCAATCAGACACATGGAAAAAATCAACCCACAGAGGTCCATTCTCCTGGCCTTCACTTTGGTTTGGATTTAGGGTCGTTTTCCAAAAGTAGAATGTCCAAAAGGCTAAACTGGGTTTTGGTCTTGTTGGCTGCAGACTCCCATGTTGAGAAAAGAGTAGTTCTATTTAAATAGTGTTGTAATAAAATAAAATGCCACAGGTAAGCACAGGTGGACACTTCACACATCCCTCTGGCTCTGTGGGAATGAACTAGTGTGAAAGGGTGCCTTGGTCATAGACTCTGTTTAATTTCACTTTTTTGGGGGATACCAGGGATCAAACTGGGGACCCTGCACAACCACTGAGCTAAATCCTCAGCCCTGTAATTTTACTTTTGTAAAACCATCTTGCTTACATAGCATTGAAAAAAAACAAAGGGAAAGCATGACCTTGGCAATAGAAAAAATGGGCTTTTCCCCCCTTTTAAAATTCTGAACATCTGAATGTGAAACAAGGCAAACTAAGAAAGCCAACCTTCATCCTTCAGTAGCATCGAGTGGTATTAACCAGGGGAGGTGAACCATCCTTGAATTTGGAATAGGGTCAACTATGGAACCAAAGAAATAACATTTTGCAGGACCAATTATATTATGGCGCTATTTCTCTACAAACCTGAGGTAGAAGAAAATATGAATTCTGCTGGTCCTGCAATGTGCAGATTTCTCTGTGCAGGTGTGTGTTTAAAATGGTGTTAATGTGTAGTCATCATGGGACATGCACAGCCCCAACAAGACAAACCAGAAGGAACAACTTAAAAACTGGGTGAGCGTGGAGGGTAACCTTTAGAAAAAATTAGTGCAAGCACTTTGAACGTTGTGGGCATTTTTCCATGGCTGCTGACATCGTGCCAGCTGCATCACCGAAGAAAGATTATTATAAATATTCCAAGGCCACAAGAGTTATCCTAAAAGCTGCCTGCAGTCTCCCAAAGCACCAAGTCTTTTCAGCTTCTATATCCAGCTTTCTTTTACAAACAAAAACAAAAACAAAAACGTTGTTACCTTGCTTTTTGGGCAGGACAGTGAGCCAGGCAGACTGGTTGGCCTGCCCTATATAATTGGAGACCTTACATATGTACTCCCCAGCATCCGCCTCAGTCACATTGAACAGAGCCAGCACTTCTGCATTGGAACTATTTATCCCCGAGTGCTAGAACAGACACAGGAGAACAATATAACGGCCAACCAGGAAGGACTCAGTGCTGTCTATGGTCCCACCACCAACACACCACAAGAAAACAACCTCCATTATGGCTAAAGAGCTGTGGGTCGAGGAAGAGCAAAGGCAGCCAAGTGGTGAACAGTGAAAGGGACCTGTGGAGGAGGGGGGAAGTGTGTGACAAACAGCTGGTGGAATGGGTCAGCAGTTCCCCAGGTCAGTCATCTGTCCCCAGATTTCTGGATCCTGGGTATCGTTAGCTAGAGAGAACCCTTCAATGATTGAGAGTTCATAGTTAGCCATCGATGGTTCTATTGGAAGACTAGTCTTTTGGAGGATATTTTCTATGAGCCACTCATCATGAAAGGTAAGGCAGCCAATGGGTAAGAAGAGCAGTACAGACTTAGCTGCCACAGGCTATACCATCATGAAGAGCAAGCTAGGTCTCAAAATTCAAGCAGCTGGCCAGGCATGGTGGTACACACCTGTAATCCTAGCACCTGGGAGGCTGAGGAGGGAGGGTTGCTATGAATTCAAGACCAGTCTGGGCTACATAGTGAGTTCAAGGTCAGCTTAGAATAAATACATAGGGAGACCCCTTGAAAAAAACACCCTAAATAATACAGGTTGATGGTCTGAAAATGGAGTTTATAAAACAAAAAATACAAAGGGAAAAAAGTTTTCCTTGTCCACCGTTTCATGGGCACAGAAACGTGCACCAAAGTTTACTGTCTGAATCACATGCACACGGATTTCAAAGGTTAAAGGACATTTAAAAAAAAATCTAAATTGTTTCTAAAAGGTGGAATTTAAAATCTGATGCTAAAGTCATATCAATAGAAATCAACATCAGAATAACAATGAACATTGGTATACAGTGTCTAAAGCTTTCCAAGCTCTTTCCCCTCTGCTCCACTGGGGACACAGTATTAGGATCTCCACTTTCGAGATGCGCAGCTGAGCCTCACAGTCTCATAGGAGAAGCCCTGGCTGAGAAAGAGCTGAACTATCTGGGCTCCAAATTCAGTAGTTTTTCCCCAGCTCACAGTTTGCTTCTGAAATCTTACTAGTAAGTCTAATGCGCTGGTAACTTAACATGTTCTACTGGCCAATCCAAAAAGAGAATCCATGTCCCTCAAATCCAATTGCAAGTTGAAGAACTTGGCCAACCCCACAGAGGAGTCCCCAGTCATGGGCCCCTCGGGATTCAGAAAGTTCTCACCTTCAGAACCTTGAGGTAGGGCAGCCCATCAGGCCCGTACTTGCTACCGTTCTTTTCTACATGTTTGATCCACTGGATGTGGGGCTGAGCATCGCTGTAAACTTTGCAGACAAATTCCACGTCCCCTCCGACGACCGTGGAGGCATTTGCTGGCAGTCCAGCTTGAAGGATGGGCCGGTGTGGTGATCGCTCTGAGGGAGAGGGAAAGAAAGGAGGAGCGGGGATGGGAGGAAGACAGACCGATAAATAAGTGGTGTTGTCCAGAAGGCTGTCGGGGGCTCAAGCCAAAGGGCCTCTCATCTGCTGGCTGACTCCTGTGGAATAACAGAGCCCATCCACCACAAAAATGACTTCAAAGGAGACCACTGGAGTGGAACCCTTGTAAAAAGCATACTTATTTAGAAAATCCAGAAAATAACTTATTACATCCCACATTCCTGGTTACCCATGGCCACCTAATGAACAAGGGGAAAGATTCCAACAATCTAAAAGACAAATGGTAGCACGGGAATGGGTGACTCTTACTTCTCTGGGGATGACCTCCAAAACTCATCTTAACCCTAGGCTTAGCATTGCGGACAAGAGACAAGGCTAACTTTAAGGATATCCTGAGCACCACAAAGGGTCCCTGTATGCATAGGGTCTCCTGATATATTTCTAAAGTGCTCCAAGAAGACTCGCATTCCTTCTATTGAAAAGTAAACTGAAAACTAAAGGTCAGAGTTAAGAAGAGACCATACTAACACACGGATTCATCTCTTTATCGCCAATCTTACTCCATTTGTTGGCTCCTTAATCACAGTCATTAATCTGATACGCATTAAGTCAGATGTGGCACAGAGAGAGAAAGAGAGATGCAGTTCCCAAATGCAGGCTGTTTTAGACTGTCTGAGACAAAGTCCCACGGGGAGATGCTTGCTGTTTCCTCCCAGCCCTCATTTTTCTTGCCTCTCTTTCTTTATGGAGAAAGTTCTCAACCAGGTATGCCCCCTTTGTCTTATGCCTGGGAAGCTTCCTCTCTGCGGAAATCATGCAGAAGCAAACAAATCAAGGTGTGCTGGCAACAACACACCTGGCTGCTCAAGATTTAAGTATTACCCAATTTAAAAATGGGCTAAGGCCTTTATCAGATATTTTCCCAAAGAAGACATACAAATGGCCCACAGGAATAGGATAAGATGTTCATCATTAACCATCAGAGAAATACAAATCAAAACCATATCCCACCTTGCATCAGTCAAGATAGCTACTACCAAGAAAAAAAGTGTTGGTGAGGACGAGAAGTCCTTGCACACGCCGGTAGTGAAAATACAAGTGGATACGGCCACCTACAAAAAACAATATGGAGCCCGCTCAAAAAGGAAAAGCAGGGCTGGGGATTTAGCTCAGTGGTATCCTGGGTACGATCCCCATACCAAAGGGTGGGGGGCAGAATGACCATATGATCCAGCAATCCCACATGTAGGTATTTACCCAAAAGTAAAATAAGGATCTGAGACATTAGCAGTCCTACCTTCATCACAGCACTGTTCCTAACAGCCAAGATATTGATTTAACAACCTAAATGTCCATCAACAGATGAATCAAGTTAAAAATATAATTTCTATATACAATGGAAAAACCATCCAGATTTTATTAAGAAGGAAATCTTGTAATGTATGCCAACATGATGTACCTGGAGGGCCTTAAGCCACATGAAACAAGACAGTCACAGAAGGACAAATACTGCACAATTCCACTTACAGGAGGCATCTCAATTAGTCTTGTTTATATAGTCAAAGAGTAGAAGAGCCGTTGCAGGGCTGAGGCAGAAGGGGAAATGGAGAGTTAATAATTAAGGGGCATAAACTTTCCATCCAGCAAGATGAGTAACTTCCAGAAAACTTCAGTACAACATCAACCGTACACTCAGCAATAACGAAGTATACGTTTAAAATGGGTCAGTACAATAAATCTCATATGAAGTGCCTTACAAGAATAAAAAGAATCGAGTAAGGCCAGACTGCTGTGTGATCTTGTCTACACAAACACTGTAATTACAAACTTACTGGGACCTTCCTCCACGACAGCTCTGTGAAGATCCCACGAAACCAAATAATCAGTCCATTCCCAACTCCACCCCCAACACCTGCACACCCCAGCCCTTTCCCTCCCTCTCTCTTCCAATTGTTGCTACCACTGCCCTTCACTTGCAGTTTAAAAACCAGTCAAAGGAAATGAGGACCCCTCAGCCAGCCCAACATATCAAAGACATCTCCACGAGGCACCGAACAATCCCGTGTGCTGTAGTACCGGGAGCAGCAAGTTACAATGATGAATATCTTAGCCTTTCCACTGGAGCCTTTCAGATTAAAATATCATCCCGTGGAATTTGTTGGAGCAGAGCCAAAACATGTGCAAATTGATTTTACTGCATAAGCCTATTACTGGCCCTTAAAAAACTTCTTGAAAAGAAAAACTGCTGGTAGTTACCCTTTGCACATTACATTCTGAAATCTCCCGTCACTTCACAGACACCTACGATTCCACACTGTAAAGATAAGTATTTCAGAGCCCCAAAAAGTCATTCATCTGTTCCAATATCATCAGGTGCAGGCTGGGCGGAGAATCCAAAAGTCAAGACTTGTAGATTTTGAGGGCAGAAAAATTCAAAGCTTGGTTTCTTCAAACATCATGAGAAACCCCAAGACTTTGGCTTAGCAGGCTGTCTCAGAGGTAGGCCATAGGCCCCTGTGTGCTCCCGGCCAGCCCCATTCATGTGGGAAGAACAGAGTTAAGTCCACTCACACACATTCGTCTTCTCCTCTTTTCCCACCAGGCCTCCTACCAAGAGATTTAACAGTAGGAGGGGAAGCTGTGCTCCAGGCTGGATATTACCAGCCAACTTCACAAAATATGCTCCTTTGTACCTGTCAGATATTAAGAAGGTTTATTCCTCCCCATAGAAAAGTGAGTTTTAGGTATCAATTCATTCCTCAGCTCAACTTTCTAGTTTTGCATTCACATACGTATATGTTAAGAGAAACACTGATGCCTTTTGTCAGAAACAAAAGTACTATCAAGGTCTGGGGATGCAGCTCAGTGCTAGAGTACTTGCCTGGCATGCATGAGGTTCTGAGTTGTAGCCCCTAGGCCCCAACCCCCCCAAAAAAAGTACTATAAAATTTTTAATGTTAAAAACTAAATCTATTGAATTGCAATGAAGCCCTCTTTCTTAAACATACTTGTTTCTAATAAACTGTTTCACAAGCAAATACTGCACACTTACTACCAAATAATGACGCCCCATGAACAACGAGTGCTTTCAGAACGCTGATGCCTCTGGCTTGCACCAGCCTTTGGGGGGAATCAGTCACTGGGGCAACCCTGGCAGGGCCCATTACAGAGCTTCAGTCTTGCTTTACTTGTGGTCAAAGCACTGCTGGGCCCCAGTTATTAAGTTATTCCATTGCTATCCAGGCTATTTTCACCAAAAGGGAAAAAGAAACCTTTGCAATGGTTTAATGTTATTGCATTTGCAAATTACAGCATACCGAAAGTTACCACTTGCAGTCTTGAATTCATCTTTTCAAATTTTCTCACCTTATATGAAATAACCTCTTAACCACCCCTTCTCCCCCTCAGCCCTTTCTCACTTTGGGTACAAAAACTGCAAGCAGAATCGTTCTGTAATAGAAACCTTATACTGTTTTCCAAAACTTATTACAGCTGCTTTTGGTATAAAATGAAACCTCAGAGAATGTTATTTAAAATGTTTTTTAAAAGTCAGTAGGCCTCATGTTTCGTTTCTCCACATCAGGCTTTGATTTCCTTTGCAACCTTATTCTCGGCCCTTAAACAAGTCAGAGAATGAGGCCTGGAACATCTTGGAATAGGTCCCAGGATGCCAGCATCTGCTGAGTGCCATGCTCTTCCCATCCCCTTCGGCCATCAATCTTCCCTGGTGTCCATCAGACCGTCAAGAGCAGCCATCAAGAAGTGCATGACAGCACCTGGACTGCTGATCTGACTTCTAGAGTTGGGGTAAAAGCCAAGTGCAGATGGCTGATGAAGCAGCAGGTTGGGCAGCGCAGGCAGCCCTGGGTGGCCCTCCCAGTGGGCACTCGGGAAGAGGGCAAGGGCAATGGGAACAATGGTCCGCCATAGCCAACCTGCTCCCCTGGAACCTCAACGGGCCCTGAGCAAACTGAACCCCTCAGGTTTGCAACTTTTCACATCAAGTCAGAATAAAAAGGATTAGTCCATGAATTATTTCTGGATGAGAGACGAAAGCCCAGAGCTGGCTCAATTCTTCCTCTATGTGATAACCAAATCACATCTCCCCCACAGGAAGGATTTAAAGCATTAGACAAGTTTTTTTTACAGCATATTTAACTGTCTGATATTATATAAAATAGATTTTTCTTTCTACAGGAGGAGTAAAGTAAATACATGGAAAGCTGAAAGGCTGATGAACACCTCACCTCTGTTTCTTGACTCCAGTTTAAAAACAGACAAGATTCTGAGCTCAGCAGGTTGCTAACGTACAAAACACGGACCTGAACCAGGATGAGAACATTTAAAATAGCGACTTAAAGGTCCCTGTGTGCATTCCAAATTAAGACACAATGGAAAAGATAGCCAAAGGGTGCGGCTGTTGCTGATGGGACAGTCGGCTGCACTGCTGGAATGAGGTTCCACCAAATAAATGTGTAGTAAACAGACTGAAGTGCTCTAAAAATTACATTCCCTCCTCCACTTTTTTTTCTCTCTCTCCTTCCCTCTTGCTCTCACCCCTTTTTTTCAAGTGTCCACTTCACTAAAGCAGAAAGCCCAGCTGCTAAGAGGCTAAATATCCATGTTGGCTCTCTCAAGTCTTGCTCTATTGCTGGGAGCCATAATCCAACTGAAGGCTGCGGGAAGAAAACACAGCCTAACTTCATTCCAAGAGGTGATTATAGGGGTGTGCAGGGGGGAAATACCTGAGTGACAAAGAATAAATCTTTGTTAATTGACCATTGAAACTTTATAACATGCCAGTCTCCTCTGGACATAATAATATGTTTGCCCATAAGAGATCTACAGCTTTTGCTCTGACATAGAAAAGGCCATAAAAAACGTCCAGGGAGCAGAGAGGTCTCATGTCTACGGGCTCAGTAAACATGCATCCCAGGGATCAGAAGGAGAACCAGGCTCTTAAATTACACCTATA